CTTTCAATTTCTTTTTGACATAATTCTTTCTACCGTTTGCCACTTGCTTTGCATTTGTTTTCAGTTTTCTAAGGGGCAAAAGCATTATCTCATCTGCTCTGCTCAACTCTTCCCTCAAGACACTGCTTTTAGTCCACTGTGAGTTGTTCTCACGACAATGAGCTTGCAGTGAAACACACAGCACAGTTCAACCCCCGATACCAAGAAAAAACCCGTACACAGCCAAGGGTCCTGACTGGTGGCTGTTCAAAATGAGGGTAAAGTGTTTTTCTCTGTGTAACATTTAAAGTTAAGCACCCTCACCTTGGCCTTCTAAGTAACACATGATGCATGCAAGTGCAAATGTTTTCTTAAGCTTGTAGGAACATTTTTACATATTTTCCACCAAATTTAAGTGATTCTCTGGAGGAAAGACTGCACTCAAAATGTTCAGTCATCAATGTGACAAAAGTTAGTTACACAAAACATAATGAAGCACTCAGGAGGCTGAGGCGCGAGTATCATGAGTTCTAGGCCAGTCTGGGCTACATAGTGAGTTCAGAGCCAGCCTGAACTAGAGAGTGGGACCTTGTCTCAGGAAAAAAAGAAAGACAGACAGACAGACAGAAAACTCGAGGCAGCTCAAAGCAAAGGCCAATGTTAGTTTTATCAGTTAACTCTCACAACTGTTTTTTAAAAAGTTTAATCAATGAAAACTTGCTTTAAATGCTAATTTTATGAGATTACCCAGTCCATATTCCATCCGCATTAAACCCAGGTATCTCTAAGTGGCCCCTGAAATAGCACCAAAACCCGTTCTTTTAAACCATAAAGTATATCATCAGGATGGCTACCTACACAAAATTGATGGCATCAGATCAGGTAGTAGGTATTTTCTGAACAGCCCCAAATAGTCCTAAACTCTTCCCAAAGGGTAAAATAAAGAGAAAGGGAATTATGGTCACTCATCTGGGCTACTCCAATGTGTGGTGATGATGATGATGGTAACACCTATTACACACTCATTGTGCATGAATAGCTTTACACATATTATCTCACAGTATTTAGCCTCCACAAAGCCCAACTTGTCATCCCATTTTACGGATGAGGAAAAAGTACAAAGAAGTTAAATACCTCCTCACAGCACAAAATCACCTTATTATTAAGCAACAAGATTCAAACTAAGCAGTCTCATTTAAAGCTGAAGCACCTACAGCAAACCAGTAATTTGGCATGCCATGTATTTGCTAAAATTCAGCTTTAAAATACTCGACCAAACACTTTTATAGACTTTTATATATACTTTTTTAAATGCACAGAAAATGTATCTGCTCTTCGTTCCTGTTAATCCAATTACTTTGAAGGTATAATTAGGCACAGGAAACAGAACACAATCTGAAAGCCAAAAAAAAAAAAAAAAAAACCCTCTATTTTAAAGTATCTTTAATTCTTTACAGTGTTTTACCAAAAGAACAGAGCCAGAGAATCTTAGAATACAAAAAAAAAAAAGAGGAAATCATAGCAGGCTGCACAAAGACAAGGTGAGCTGCTGATGGAAGTGTGTCACCGAGGAATCTGCTCCTGTGCACTGCTCTGCAGTGACGCCAGAAGCACTGCAGTGCTGCCAGGATCCGGTCTGAGCTCTCGAATCCTGTACCATAACAGTACCCAAAACACAAATATTCTCCTTCGCTTTACTGATTTTCCATAATTCCAGGGTCCTACTCTAGGAAGCTTGAGAGTTAACAGGATTTGGGAAAGGGCCAGCTTCACACTTACTGCTGGATGAGGTACAGAAGCTCAGTCAATAAGTGAAGTTTACTTTAGCCTCTTGGCCCTTGGAATGGGTCATGGAATAAAAGTGAGCAGAAAGAAAGAAAAAGAGAGAGGAGGACAGAGAAAGAAAGAGCGAGCTTAAGTATTTCTCCGACATTCAGAAAATACCTATTACCTGATCTCCTTCAGCCAACACAAGTATCATCTGAGTTACCTGAATGTGATTTTATATATGGTTACAGAAAAACCCAGAACACTGCGTGATTCACTGAGGTGGGGGGAGAAAGAAAAAACAATCACCCACCTCAAAAAGGTGAAACAAAAAATAATACATTGTAGAAACAGGGTAAGAATAACTTTGCTTCCAAATGCTTTGACTGCAGAAAAATCCTGCATTATACAGGGAGAAAAAGCTTCCTACCTGAGCAACTAAAGCAGCAGCTCCTGCAACTTCTAGTACCTCTGCACCTTCCCCACCATTATATAACCAAGCCCTGGCATTAATAGGCCATCATACGTTAACAGCTGCGAGGCACATCTAAGCCGTCAGCAACTGAGAACCCCTTCCAAAGTGCATTCAGATGAGCAAGAAGCAGGCCAAAATATGTTCATCATTCATCCCGAGCACATGACAACTCCTTGTGAAGAAAGCTTCACTCATGTCGTCAGAGAAATTTAAGCAGCAAAAGATGGGACACTTGTCACTGTAACTAGGAAATTGCACACTGCTACAGAAACGCAAACGAATGCTGGTGTGATCTCTTCACACATGCAACTCATTGTCCAAGCCATTTCCATCTCATTCAAGAGTTTGAATATTTCCATACATGGGAATTGCATAACCACGCACCACAAATGATCAAAGATAAAATCCAAATAAAGTGACACTCACTAATAAACAAGCCAATGTTTTAAATGCTATAGTCCTAAAGGACACCAAGGTCTCAGAGAAAAACTGTGAAACACACACACACAAGGATGCACACATGCACAGGGCACAAATTATAAAGTAGGCAGATCAGCCATAATTAGGCACTAGTTTGCTAACTACTGAGAACAGAAATGTCTTTCATAAAAACAAAAAAAAGCTGGGGATTTAGCTCAGCGGCATAAGCACCTGCCTTGTAAGCAGGCAGTCGTGAGTTCGATCCCCGGTATAAAGCCAAAAATCAACTGTTTGCAAGTGAATCCACAAAAACATTCAATCCCATCTGTCGCAAAGGTTTTTTCTTTCTTGATCAATAGTTTGGTATATTCAAGGGGTTGAAAATTCAAGTTTCTGGGGCTGGGGATTTAGCTCAGCGGCATAAGCGCCTGCCTTGGAAGCAGGCAGTCGTGAGTTCGATCCCTGGTACCAATAAAAATGAAAAAGACAAAAAAAAAAAAGAAAATTCAAGTTTCTTTAAATCATAGAGATCATAAACCAGGCAACCAATTAAGACATGAAACCCATTTCCCAGAGGTAGAGTAAAATAATCACAGAGCACAACATGATTACTTGGGAGAAAGGAGGCTAGCAAAACAAGGAACGACGCATATTGTTTATAAATATAAATTTGGTTTGGCTAACAGTAAACAAGTCTGCACACACTCCAGAGTAGAGTCTACTTCCCCTAAGGGTCTGAGGGTAACATCTGGGATTTAGGTATCTCATTCAGGCTCTGATCTCCAGACTTGAAGCTTTATGATAAAAACTGACAAAAGGCTGAAGAGGGCCCTTCACAGGAAGTGAAACTGATCAATCAATTCATCACAGCCACAAACACACAAACACACACACACACACACACACACACACACACACACACACACGTCACCCTGGCAAGAAGGGCCTCTGTAGACTTAGAGAGGGGCATTGGAAGGAACTTCTAGGCTGCAACTGAGCAGGACAGGAGGCCTAGATAAGCCACTCCTCTCTGAAAACAAGCCATAAAAGCAAAAACCAGGTAGGTCATGGCAAAGCCAAGGCTGAGGAGGTGAGGAGAACCGACATGGCTTTGGTGGAAAGCCGCAGCAGCCTAGAAGGGTTCTTCATTTGTCAGGCTGGAGGAAACACACACTGCAGTTTTAAACGTAATGAATGACTACATTGAAAATATTCGCTCAAATGACATATTGAGCAAAGAAAAACTGGGAGGTAAAATGGGTTTTGTGAGTTCCATTAAAACTAAACATTTCCCGATAGCTTAAATCACCATACTCCCAATAAAGACTATTATTTCCAATTTCCTCAAAAAAAAAAAAAAAAAAGACTATATATGTATACATATATGGCTTCCTAATTGACCTTGACCAATTTCTCTGCTACAGCTCCTCAAATCCCTTAGGAACCAAAGGGCCCAACAAGTATAATCCTCTGCGGTGCCTGGACTCCTCCTCGGTCAGAAGCTCTTCCCTCACCAGCAAAGCTCACCCCGAGTTCTTGTAAAGCCCACAATTCCAGACCCTCTAAAGACTAAAAATAACCGGCGACCTGACTCTTCCCAACAGTTTAACCCTTGGATTGCTAGGGCCCCCATAAACCTGGACCCTCCACCCCCACCCTGGGGTCTCTGTTCTTGGACCCGCACCCCAAACAATTTTTCCCTTTAGTTCCCCATTTCCTTCAATGCATCCTCCAATAACCGTGTCCCTCCTCAACCTTCCTCCATTCGCACCCTCTATCAGTTTTAAACGACCATATGCGGATTCCTGTGTGTCGTAAGGCACCGGGTTCCCCACACTTCCCGGTGCCCTGCACCCATCACACTCCCCAGTCCATGCCCAGCAGCGCCGGGGCCCCCGAGAAGCCCGGGTCGGCCAGCTGCGCCCGCTGCCCCTGTCCTCCGGATCCACATAGCACAGGCTCCTGCCTCATTCCCTCACCATTTCCTAACTGCTGGTTCCGGAGTCTTCTGGCTGTAGTCTGCCGGCCCCCGAGTCCCAGCCTCCCCTTCCAGCCACCCTTCCACTACCTCCGCACGGCCGAGGACCCCTTCCCTGCCCCGCGGCTCAGTTCCCGGGTCCCGGGCTCGGGTCCCCCGCCCGGAGCTGAGGAGTCTCCAGCGCGGGGCCGTGACGTCCCTGCCTTCACACGCCGCCACCCAGCCCGCCGGCCCCGACACGACCCCGCCGCTCCGCCGAGACGCGGACCCACTCGCTGCCCGACCGACCCGAGCCCCCGAGCGCGGACTCCCGGCGCCGCCGCACTCGGACGGTCCCGGGCTGCGCAAGCCCACGGCCGCGCGGCCCCGCGGCGCCGGTACCTTGGCCTTGGTGACGAGGTGCGTGGCCCGCTTGACCACGGCGAAGTTGCCCTTGCCGATGGTGCGGTCGATCTCGTAGTAGCCGATGCGCGCCGGCATCGGCCCGCGGGACGCTGGGGCTGCGGGACGCGGCTGGCCGGCCGCAGGGGCCACGGCAGCGGGGGCGGCCGGGGGCGCGGGCGCGGGCGGAGGCAGCAGGCGGCCCGCCGGGCCGGCTCCCCCTGCCGCGGCCCCGGCAGCCCCGCCAGCTCCGCTCGCCGCCGCCGCCGCCGCCGCCATCTTGTTGTGCAGTGAAACCTCCGGGTCCGCGGGGAGCCGGCTGAGGGGAGGGGGCGGGGGGCGGGAAAAGGAGGGGGGCTGCGCACGTCACCCGGGGGGCGGGGCTCCCGCGCCGCCGGGCGCCTGGCGCCATGGCAACCGCTGGTCACGTGCCGACGCGCGTCACTGCGCAGCGCCATGGCAACCGTGACCTCACGGACTGGCTCGACCTTCCCGCGTGGGCCGGGTTCCTTCGGCGCCTGCTCCCGGGTGCCCCGCTCTGGGGAGCGGGCAGCGGGAACCTGGAGTGTGTCAGCGACTTCGGTGCCTCCGCCGTCTCCCTCAGGCCTGACCCCGTGGCCCTGAAATCACAGCGTGACCCCTGCTGGGACCTCTGTTCCAGTTCCACAACCTCCCTGAGAAGTATTTCCTCGTCGCCAGAACTACCCTGCAGCCCTGGAGGCCACAAGGGCAGGCGCAGCTCTAGGATCTGAGCGACTGTAATCAAGTTGGTAGCAAGGTAGGGAACTGTTCAGTAAAATTCCTTCCTCTTACAAAATCCGTTTTGGAAAAATCAAATCCAGCTCACCTTGTAGAATTGATCTAATTATCACAGAATCTAGAAGAATGGCGAAACTAGGATCTGCGTGTTCCAGAGCGGAGAAACGAGCCCAACCACGCACTCCAGTCGCTGGGTGGGTGAGGGCCAGAGAGCATACGTCATTCTGCTTCCCACGCGCGCTCACACACACACACACACACACACACACCCGACACCGAGCTGTGCTGTAGCCAGGTGACTGTCAGAGTATCTGCGCAGCTTCTGTTATGTTTGTAACCCGGTGAAGCCGCCATGCACGTTATCTGGTGAGCAGTCGTGCTCAAAGATGAACAGTCCGTTTGGCAAAATAAATAAATAAAAATTCCATCCTTCCTAGCGACTCTCCAAGGACATTAATAAGCCATCAAATTAATAACTCCAGCAATAAAAACTCATCTCTTTTCCTTCCCTCTTCTATCATCTGACATTCCACACTCCACTAGCTCCCAGGTTTCCCCCTCTTCTCCCCTTTCTCGTTAAACAGATCGATTTAACTGCTTTACCTGGGGATTGGAGGTAGGAAAATGGACTGTCAGGGGAAGATAGCCTTTGAGGGGACAGGAAAGCAAGCAGTAAGACTGTGCATACTTGTAAACTAAAATGTATCCCTCTACTCTAGTCTTGATCCATCCTCTGCTCTCTCCGTGGCAGAACTGTATTTATTGTCAGGTCATTGAGTACAATATTTAAAAATGACACCCAACTTACTCTCTCTAACCGAAAGACCCCGAGTGCTCTGATGCCCCGCTGACTTTGAGCAGTGCCTAGAACCAAGATGGATGGGAAGGAGGGGTCATCCCTCAATTGCCTTGGCTCAGTTCCCTGGAGGCCGTTCTCAATTGCCAACACAATCAACACTAATTGGCTCCTTTACAAGCAATAAGGATTAGGATAAATAGGACATCTCCTGCACTTTCATCAGTTGAGCTCATTCAATCCCAGATAAATGATGGGATCCAGTCTGTCTTTCTGGCCATTTCATGGCCCTCCCCTACCTGTAGCAGGGATGGTAACTTCACTGCTGTGTCCCAGAGCCTTGGGGGGCTCACAGGGGACTCAGTAGAATTCTTAGCTGCCTGATACAATATAGCAAGGAAGAACTCTCACTCTGCAACCTGAAACCACTCTTGCTCGTGACTGTGTGTTTATGAGTATCATCCACTCACGGAGATAATTTGAACATCAAGTACAGTTACTTCTGCTGCTCTTGCAAAGGTATCAAAGGCAACACTGGGGAAGTCCTGGAAAATGAAGCATTGGTCTAATTTTCAAAGAGAAGAAACAGATCTCCCTTGTTCCCCAAAATAACCAAAATATAGCCACACAGTTTTTATATCGTTTATGCTCCCAGATTGTATGGAGTGAGACTTGTAGGTGGTATGTCCAATAAAGACTTTTTTGGACTTGATCTTGAGATCTCTTTTTTTTGTTTGTTTTTGTTTTTTGTCCTTTTGAGACAGGGTCTCTATGCAGTTCAGGTTGGCCTTGAGCTCACTTTGTAGCCCAGGCTGGTCTCAAACTCGCCAGGATCCTCCTGCCTCAGTCTCCCCAGTGCTGGGATTACAGGCATGAGCCACCACGCCCAGCTCTAGAGGTCTCTCTTAAGAGTCCTCTTTTGGGCCGGAAATTTAGCTCAGTGGCATAAACACCTGCTTGGCAAGTACTGGGTCATGAGTTTGATCTCCAGTACCAAACAGTCCTCTTTCACGAGAAGAATAAAGAAAATGGGAGTTAATCAAAAGAGATCATTGGAAGGAAAAGAAAATAGTTTACTTTTTGGTTTTGGTTTTGGTTTTTTTTTTGTTGTTTTTTGTTTTTTGTTTTTTGTTTTTTGGTTTTTTTTGGTACCGAGGATCAAATTCTCAGGACTGCACACTTGCAAGGCAGGTGCTCATGCCGCTGAGCTAAATCCCCAGCCCTTGTTTTGTTTTGTTGAAACAGAGTCTTGCTATATATTTCAAACTGGCCTTGAACTCACTATGTACCCAACGTGGTCTTGAATTCACAGCATCTTCCTGCCTTACCCTCCTGAGTGCTAGGAAAAGAAAAATAGTTTAGTTGTGTATATTTATTCTTTTTTTTTTTTTTTTATCCGTACCGGGTATCAAACTCACGACCACGCTCTTGCAAAGCAGGTGCTTATGGCTCTGAGCTAAATCCCCAGCCCCTTTGTATATTTATTAAGGATGTTTGCAATACCAAAGACTGAGGAGAGACTCACAGTCAATAATAACAGTTTAGGAGCTGTGATAAAGTACATTAACATCTTCAAAGCTCTGGGTTCAATCCCCAACACCACAAAATAATAATTACAAAATAACAACTTGCCAAGCACTATGCTACAAAGTTTACACTTGTGAATTCTCTAAAGCTGCACAAGAGATCCATGAGCTACATTTCATTATTATCCCTGTTCTGCAGATAAAACCAATGAGGTACGAAGGGATTAAGGGAATTGCCAAACTCACAGACCCAAAATGTGTACAGTAAAAGTGAAGCCCAAACACAGGCCGTCTACCTTTGCAGCCTAAGAACTTTCCCTAAGATAGTACAACCCCTGCCAAGGTAGGAGCCAAGGTAGGAAAAGTAGTTTCTTTGGAAGGAAGCCAGGGTAACGGATCTCGGTTTAGACACGCACGGTGCTTTGGTTTAGATGGGCAATGTCTCTAAGGCCTCTTGTGTTAAAAGAGTTGTCTCCCACCTGGTGCTGGTGGGAGACAATGGCCCTGTAAAGAGGTGTGGCCTCGTGGGAGATCTTCAGGTGACTGGAAAATGGCCTCAGAGGGGACTGTGTGGCCCACAACTCTGCCTCTCTTTCTCCCTTTCTTTCTCTGCAACCAAGAAGTGAACACTTTTGCTCCCCCCATGCATTCTTGCTCTGCTGTAAAACACAAGGCCCAAAACATCAGGGTGAACCCGTCAGAGACTCAATCTTGAACACTGTTAATCAAAATGAACCTTTTTAAGTTGATTAGCTCCCCTAATCAACTTAGTGATGGAAAGCTGGCTAAGGAGTACTTTGAGAGTTCCTGAAAGCAGGACAGGGCAGGAACGGAAACATGTGACTAAAAATCAGATTACAAAACTGGACAAAATACCTGGGATGGTGTCACTTGTAAATGGCACCCAATCATCACATTTGTGTAACAATGTCACAGCCCAAATGAGACTGGGCCAGTGGGTCTGTTCTGTCCTGGGATCCACTAAGAGGAGGAGGCTGCCTTCTCAGAGAGCCAGCACTCCAGGGGAAACACAGAGCCAGCCACCACCCAGCCCAATCAGCAACCAGGGCAAAATTCTTTTCTGAAAAAGTAAAACATAGATTCAAAGACAAGAAGTAGATGCTTTCCACATCATGTCACTATGTCTTGTTTCCAATTTGAAAAAAAACCAAAAAAACAAAAAACAAGATACTCTTGATAGAGATAGTAGAAAATTAGAAACTTTTAATTAAGAGTTATAAAACTAGAAGCTGGGGATTTAGCTCAGCCGCATAAGCACCTGCCTTGCAAGCAGGCGGTCGTGAGTTCAATCCCTGGTACCGATAAAAAGGAAAAAGACAAAAAAAAAAAAAAAAAAGAGAGAGAGAGAGAGATAAAACCCCGGGTGTAATGACTCATGCCTATAATCCCAGCACTCCAAAGGCAGAGGTAAGAGGAATGTTGCAAGTTGAAGACCTGCCTGGGTTACAGAGTGAGCTTAAGGCCAGCCTGAGCTGCATAGCCAGACCTAGTCTCAAAAAGAAAAAAGAGAGAGAGAGAGAAAGTCTAAGGACCCTTGCTAACCTGATAGGAATATAATAAAGAGTGGCATGTAGCACATTAACTCTTTGAGGTGTTTTCCCTCTTTAAGATTTTAAAGGCCTGCTTCATCTTTGCAGTTTATCAGCAAGCAGAAAGAAAGCTGCAGCCTTGCGATGTTGCTCTGTAGACCCTCAGAGTTATGCAGACCTTAAAGAAAGCCCAACTCTTTACTTTGACCCAATTCATTTCTGTGCTAAAACAAGCTGACATTATGCAAGCAATCATTTGATACACAAGCATTATTCAGAAATTCTGTAGGTCAAAAATTAACATCATAGAATGTTTTCATGCCACAAACAAAAATTCCTGGTGACTATAAATTCTGCCATCACGTAGAATCAGGGCACTGCTGGGCACACATTGTCTGAACACTCCAAATGCCCTGGTTCCCTGGGAGAGATGAATGTGTACCTGCTCTTTGTTAAAGCTCATTTTGCACCACCAGCTATGTGCTTTTGCTTCTTCTTTCTCCATCCTAGCTCAGCCTAGTTGTGTTCAAATGTTTTCCATGAGTGTGTAGAAACAGGTCTGATCAGATAAGAATAACTACCTCATTTCCTGCTCTAAAACATTTTGGGGAAGAGGCATAGAAGAAGCTAAACGACCTTCCCATTTCTCTTCAGTTTTTGTTTTGTTTTGTTTTCCAGGCTTTTGAGACAGGGTCTCACTGTACAGTTCAGGCTGGACTTGAACTCACTTTGTAGCCCAGGCTGACCTCAAACTCACAGCAATCTTCCTGCTCAGCCTCCCAAGTGCTGGGATTGCAGGCATGAACCACCCCACCTGGCTCTACCCATGTTTTTTAATCTAACTATTCAAACCACAACAGAAACAGTTGTGTACTTTTTGTTCATATTCTACAAAAGATTTTTCTTAAATATTCTTTAAGCCACTCCAAATATCTTTCAATGTGATTTGACTGTGGGAAAGAGGACAGTCTCACCATCTATGCCCAAGCTGACACCTAACTCCAGGACTCAATGGATCCTCCTGCCTACACTTTAAGGAATCTGGGACTACAGATGTTCTGCTGTGCCTGTTAGTTTTCTGCATTTGTACATGCGACTGCATTTATTTGCAAGCAGTATCTTTGTCAGATAAATACATCTTTAGGTTTCCTTTGTGTTTTGTTCTGGTTTTGGTCTTCTTTTATGGTTTCACTTTGTTACTGCAGCGCTGAGGCTTTAACCCAGAGCTTACATACTCTAGGCAAGTCCTCTACTACTGAACTACCCTACCAGCCTCCAAGTTTGCTTTTATAAGGAAAATCAATGAAGCAATACATTTAGTAGGAAAAAAAGTTTATCCAGGGTAACTTTCTTTTTTTTTTTTTTTTTTTTTCTTTTTCCTTTTTATTGGTACCAGGGATCAAACTCACGACCGCCTGCTTGCAAGGCAGGCGCTTTATGCCGCTGAGCTAAATCCCCAGTCCCCAGGGTAATTTTTTTCATGAAAGTACATGATCCTCATTGTGAGGTGCCCCTCATTACATGATCAATTCTCAAAAGCATTTTTTTTTTGTAATTTGCCTTTTTTTTCAAATAAAAATTGTGGTACTCAACAAATGTTTAACAAGATGTTGGCATATCTAGGTCCTTAAGTACACTTCTCTTGCTTATAGACGTGTACCTAAGAGTCTAGGAAGTCAGAATATTTCACAGAAAATAAAAGCCTATTTCAAAGTCTACATATTAATTGCTTTTTTCTCTGATATGAATACCTGACACCTGTAATTGAAAGGAAGAAAGTTTATTTTGGCTTGCAGTTTTTCAAAGATTCAATCCGCAGTGGGTTGGCTCCAAGGAAGAAATTGTATGGCAGAGGAAAAGCTGTTGAACCCACAGCAATCAGAAGCACAGGGAGACTGAGGCTCTGTAGAGGACAGGAATGCAACATTCCAGGTCATCTACCCAGTGACACAGACCCAGCTACGTGCCACCTCCTAACAGCACATTCAGCTACTTACAGTGGAACAAACCACAGATATGATACCAAATTCCGCACCAGTTTGAGCAGTAAGTAGGTCCCCTTGGACCATGGCGGCAGCAGCCTCTGAGTACCTGGATGCCTCAGCGCTGTGGTACCAGGTCCCTAGGCAGCCCTTCTCAAGCAGGGGCTCAAGGGCTCTCTTCTCAACTCAAAGGTTTACACTCTGCACATTTGATACTGCAGTGGATGGGGTCTTGTTGATTCCTGAGATGTCCTCATGGCCTCTTTCTTCTTATTCCCTTGAAAATACTTGGTCTCTTTTAATAGCATGAATCTCTTTAGCAGCCACACCCTTTTGACCCAGCTTTACACACAACTCATTTTTAGGTTTCTTCTTCTTCCTCTACTGCTGCTGATGCTCCTCCTCCTCCACTTCTCCTCTTCCTTCTCTTCCTCTTCCTCATCCTCCTCCTCCTTCTTTTTGTGACACAAGGTCTTGCTATGCAGTCCAGGTTAAACTCACTATGTAGCCAAGGCCTCAAACTTGTGTCAATCCTTCTGACTCAGCCTCCTGAGTGTTAGGATTTTAGGCATTCACCACCATACCCAGCCACAATTCATTTTTGGCCACCAGAAAAATTTTCTACATCATTTGGCTCCGCTTTTTGCTCCTGAT